GCAAATCAGTTTGCGGCTTGAATGTCCCGAGCAGCAAGACCTGGTTCGCCTAAAGTTTTGTCGGTCCATCAATAATGACCTAAGGAACAATAGTTACCCCTTCGCCATGACCGATACTCGTATTTTGATTTTTGAGGTCCACAAAATTTGAGTTCTGCACGATTTTCAGATTTTCGTGTGCTATTGCGCACGCCTCCTATATGGTCCCGGGACTCGGATCGTCTAAAATTTTGCCGGCCCATCAAAAACGACCTTAGGAACAATAGTCACCGCCTCGCCATGGCCGTCACTCATATTTTGGTGTTAGAGCCATAAAACTGGAATTCTACCTGATTCCTAGATTTTCGTGTGATAGGCCCGCGTGCGGGACTCTGATCACCAAAATTTTTCCCGACCCATAAAAAACGACGTAAGGAATAACAGTTACTGCCTCGCGATGACTGTTACTCATTTTTTGGCATTTTAGGGCTATAAACTGGAATGGCGACCGATTCCTAGATTTTCGTACGCTATAGTCCACACCTCCTAGATGGGCTGGGGCGCTCGGACCCGGATCGCCTAAAATTTTATCAGCCCTTCAAAAATGACCTAAGGAACAATAGTCACCGCCTCGCCATGAACGTTACTCGTTGTTTGGCGTTTTAGGGCAACAAAACTGGAACGACGACCGATTCCCAGATTTTCACGTGCTATAGCCCATGCCTCCTGCATGGGCCTGGGTGCCCGGACCTGTATCTCCTAAAATTTTGTTGGCCCATCAAATATGACCTAAGAAACAATAGTCACCGCCTCGTCATGATCGTTACTCGCTTTTTTGTATTTTAGGGCCATAAAACTTGAATGGCTATCGGTGGCCAGATTCTCGTATGCAATAGCTCACGCCTCCTATATTGAGACGGGCGTCCAGACCCGGATCGCCTAAAAAAATTTCGGCCCATCAAAAACGACCTAAGGAACATTAGTCACTACCTCGCCATGACCATTATTCATTTTTTGGCGTTTTAGGCCATAAAACTGGAATGGCAACCGATTCACAGATTTTCGTGTTCTATAGCCCACACCTCCTGCATGGGCCCGGACGCCCAAACCCGGATCGCATTAAATTTTGTCAGCCCAAACGACCTAAGGAACAATAGTCACCGCCTCGACATGATCGTTACTCGTTTTTGGCATTTTAGGGCTATAAAACTAGAATGACGCCCGATTATTCGATTTTCGTGTGCTATAGCCCAAGTCTACTGCATAGGCCCGGACGCCCAGACCTAGATCACCTAAAATTCACCAGTCTATCAAAAATGTCCTAAAGAACAATATTCACCGCCACACCATTACTGTTACTCATTTTTTTGGCGTTTTAGGGTCATAAAACTAGAATTTGACCGATTTCTAAATTTTCGTATGATATAGAACACGACTCTTGCATGGGCTCGGGCGCCAGAACCCGGATCACCTAAAATTTTGCTGGCCCATAAAAAAATGGCCTAAGGAATAATAGTCACCGTCTCACCATGACCGTTACTCATTTTTTGACGTTTTAGGGCCATAAAATTAGAATTCCGCTTGGTCTCAAATTTTCGTGTGCGATAACCCACGCCTCATGTATGGGCTTGGGCGCTTGTACTTGAATTGTCTAAGATTTTACTAGACCATCAAAACTGACCTAAGGAACAATAATCATCGACTCACCTTGACCATTTCTCGATTTTGGCGTTTTAGGGCCATAAAGCTAGAATTCCTTTAGTGTGCTATAACCCACACCTCCAGCCTATAAAAAAAGACCTAAGGAACAATAGACACTTCCTCGCCATGACCGTTACTCGTTTTTGGCGATTTAGAGCCATAAAATTAAAATTTTGCTCGATTCTCAGATTTTCGTGTGCCCACGCCTCCTGCATAGGCCCGGGCGTCTAGACTCGGATCGCCTAAAATTTTGCCGGCCCATAAAAATGACCTAAGGAACAATAGTCACCGCCTTGCCATGACAGTTGCTCGATTTTTGGCATTTTAGGGCCATAAAACTATAATTCTGTCTGATTCCCATATTTTCGTGTGCTATAACCCACGCCTCATGCATGGGCCCGAGCGCTTAGACCTGTATCGCCTAAAACTTTGCCGACCCATCAAAAATGACCTAAGAAACAATAGTCATCGCCTCTCTATGACTGTTACTCATTCTTTGACGTTTTAAGGCCATAAAACTGAAATTCCGTCCGATTCCTAGATGTTTGTGTGTTATAACCCACGCCTCCTACATTGGCCCGAGCGCTGGACCTGGATCGTCTTAAATTTTACCGGCCTATAACAAATGACATAAGGAACAATAGTTACCACCTTGCTATGATCGTTACTCGTTTTTTGGCGTTTTAGGGCCATAAAATTAGAATTCCGCGTGATTACTAGATTTTCGTTTGCTATAGCTCACGCCTCCTGCACGGGCCCGGGCGCCTGGATCTGCATCGCCTAAAATTTTGTCGTTCCATCAAAAATGACCTATAGAACAATAGTCGCTGCCTCGCCATGACCGTTACTCATATTTTGGCATTTTAGGGCCACAAAATTGGAATGGCGACCGATAGCTAGATTTTCGTGTGCTATATCCCACGCCTCCTGCATAAGCCCGGGCGCCCGGACTCGGATCGCCTAAAATTTTTCCGACTCATCAAAAATGACCTAAGGAACAATAGTCACCGCCTCTCCATGACCGTTACTCGTTTTTGGCATTTTAGGGCCATAAAACTGGATTCCCGTCCGATTGGTTTGCCATGACCGTTTCTTGTTATTTGGCACTTTAGAGCCATAAAATAGGAATTCGGGACGATGGGCTCCGAATCCCCTAAAATTGTTTGGGCCCATAAAAAATGACTTAATGAACAATAGTCATTTGCTTTGCCATAACCGTTCCTCTTCTTTGCGTTTTAGGGCCATAAAACAGAAATTCAGGAAAATTTCTAATTTTAGTCTGCTAATGTCCACGCCATGGTTGGCCTGTAATTACGTTGGGTCATAAGAAACGGCCTAGTGACCAATACTCATTGTTCTCCATGCTTTTCGGGTTTATATTTTATGTTTCGGGGTCATGCAACATGAATTTATGATGATATTAACATTTTCGTGTGTATTAATACATGTTGGTTTTGTAAAAATATTTACGGACTCTGATTGGCCTGAAATTTTGCATGTCCATAGAAAACGGCCTAGTGACCAATACTCATTACTTTGTCATGACTTCCGAGTTTATTTTCTGGCATTTTGAGGTCTTGCAACACGAACTTATTCTTATATCCACTTTTCGTATGTATTAGTACATGCTGATTTTGTTATAAAAAAATATGGACTCTGATTAGCCTGAAATTTCGTAGGTCCGTAGGAAATGACCTAGTGACCAATACTCATCGATTCGCCATGACTAATGTTGCTTTTTAGCCACTTTTTCGTATGTATTAGCACATGTTGATTTTGTAAAAAAAAATTATCGTACTCTGATTGGCCTAAACTTTTATAGGTTCATAGGAAACGACCTCATTGCTTCGCCATGACTTTCGGGTTCCTTTTCTGGCGTTTCGTGGTCATGCAACACGAATTTATGACTATATCCACTTTTTCGTGTGTATTAGTACTTGTTGATTTTGTAGAATTTTTTTGACGGATTCTAATTAGCCTGAAATTTTTTAGGTGCATAGGAAACGATCTAGTGACCAATATTCATTGCTTTGGCATGACTCCCCAGTTCATTTTTGGTATTTTGGCTTCATTTTTTGGTGCTTTGATACAAATTTATGAGCATATCTACTTTTTCATGTGTTATATACATGTTGATTTTGAAGATTTTTTTACGAACTCCGATTGGCATAAAATTTCGTAGGTCCATAGGAAACGGCCTAGTGACCAATACTCATTGCTTCGCCATGACTTTCGAGTTCATTTTATGACGGTTCGAGGTCACGCAACACGGATTTATGACTATCCACTTTTTCGTGTGTTAGTACATGTTGATTTTGTAAAAAAAATTAAAATTTAACAGACTCTGATTGGCATGAAATTTTGCGGGTCCATTAGAAACGGCCTAGTGACCAATACGCATTGTTTCCTCATGACTTTCGAGTTCAATTTCTGGCATTTCGGGGTCATGCAACACGAATTTATAGTTATATCCACTTTTTCGTGTGTATTAGTACATGTTGATTATGTAGATTTTTTTGACGAACTCTGATTGGTCTGAAATTTCGTAAGTCCATAAGAAACGGCCTAGTGACAAAAACTCTTGCTTCGCCATGACTTTCGTGTTCAATTTTTAGTGTTTCGGGGTCATGCAACACGAATTTATGACTATATTTACTTTTTCATTTGTATTAATATATGTTGATTTTGTGGAATTTTTTTGATAAACTCTGATTGCGTTATATTGATATATGAATGAGAGCATTCAATCCAAAATTTAAAGGCATAATACATTAGTTCAAAATTTCTATTAACCAGTTTGAACATTCAATATATATAACCCCATTGTGCCATTATTATGATACTACCATTCAAAAGAAATCATTGAGCTCAAGGTACCAGAGATTGCTTCTATCTTTATTGCAAGTCAAGCACTTCTGAAAATTCACAAAGATTTAAGTGGTGGAGCTCCTTTTAGGATCGATTCTAGCCAACTTAACAAACTTCATTAGAATAAGAGCAAATGCTAATATTAGGATTTGGTTTCACAGAAATAGTAGCTTGATATTATGGGTGTACTCCTTTCCAAGTATCCAAGTGAATAGTCATGACGAGGGCACCAGGGATGTGGCCTAACAGTAAATAAAGCGAATTCAAACTTGGAAAATCGAGGTTCAAATCTCGACAGAGATAAGTGATTTTTCCCATCTGCCTAAGTATTGGTGAATAGAATTACTGGTACTTGTGCTTGGTGGGAGGTAGCATGTCCGATGGAATAGTTGTAGTGTGTGCAAACCAGGTAGGACACCATTTGTTATCACCAAAAAGTGAGAGTCATGACATAGTTCATGAGGGAAACAATTTACTCTTTGTTCAGCATGTATGTTGCAAAATATTATAGAATCCAATGCACTTTTGAAACACTATCAAAACTTACAAATATTTACTTCATTCAAAACTAATCGTTCAAAAAGAAACTTTGAACTACTGCAATGGATCTGAATGGTTCATTACCGTATACACCTTCCGCTATATGCACCTTCAGCTAAGTCAGTGAGATGTAAAATTCTGTCCTTGTTAACCCAACGTATCTAATCTGTACGAAGCAAATCCGTTTGCGGCTTGAATGTCCCCAGAACCAAATATGGAAGTATAACCATGCAAGCCATGAATAGAGTGAACTGCAAAACATAGAAGTCAAGGCAATAATGTTCAACCAGATGTGAGAAACTGCTAAGACAGACAAGAAACGGAAAGGAAGAGGTAATACTCTAAAATGCAATGATTTTAAAAGTGAAAAGTGCAAAAATGCAACAAGGTCCAGGGGCCTTAAAGCGAGAAGTGAGGCGCGCAATTTACGGAATTAAAAAATATCAAACAACGTTAAATTTAGTACAATAAAAGTTGAATTGCTATTAAAATAACTAATTTTAGCATCTAATATACAATAATGCCAAGATTAATCCAACTACTTAAAACCGAAATCCAAAGAAGTATCTGATTCTTGTTGAATGTGAACCATTATTTGAAGCACAAACTTCTCTAAAGTACATGGCTTCACCTATGAAGCCATAATCTCTCGCTTTGCAACGCTTCGTCGCCTTAAGTAACGAAGCAATGGCTTTTAATAACATTGCTTGAAAGATATGTTGAATAAACATTTTTAGTTTCTGCCTTTGGTAGGCAATCATTATTTGATTCTCTTACATGATTCATTGAAAACTATTAGTTATTTGAAGTTGGTCAACTGTATACTGGTTAAACATAAAATAAAGGGACAATAATAATCAAAGGAAATAAATAACATTTAGTTAAGTTCAGGTCATACCACAAGAGGAAGGGTCAACAAGCTCCAAATAGGCCACAGAGCATAACAGAACCTGAAACAAACAACTCGTAAATCTCATTTGATCTAGAAGTTTGAAACTATATCTGTGTATTACTATTTGGATGCACAAATAATTCATTATATCTCTTACAATAGGAAAGATAGGAGCCCAAGCACAGTGATGAAGGGAAGGGCAGCTGTACTGGAAATCTCCCACTTCTCATATGACTTCCGGACACCCAAAGCCAACATACTTGTATATAAGAAAAACATAACATTCAAACCAACACCAAACATCCCAATGTATAGTGGTATTCTGCAACAAAAATGTGAAGAATCGATGAATAAAGCTCCCAATTTATGGCCAAAATGTGCAAGTTTCCTCAAAGCATTATCGGTGAAAAAGTCAAGCAGCTTTAGTAATTCATAGATATCTCATGCATCTTTCTAACAGGCAAACAGCTGCAGTTTGTCAAGTTATAAAAGGATGCTTACATGAAAGAACAGCGTGGATATCTGTATATTTTGGTATCCATTAGTCCAAAAATGATCCTTAAATGGAAGCGAAAATTACATGGTCCAATAGCATTAGCGGTTGAAGAAACTAATTAGGCATTTGGTGAGCTCTATATATGAATCCAAAAAGTTTCCAAACAACAAATATGCTATATTTTTCCTTGTATTCCAACACACATGCTATATTATTTCTTCGATCTAGAGACTAGAGTGAAATAGAAGTTGGAGGAAGAGAGCTTATATATTCATTACCATGGTATATTTCAAATTATCTTACCGTTGCATGCATACTCTTGCTAATAACGACACACCTAATGCAGTGTTTCTCCATCTCTGAATGTAATGAAGCAAAAGAAGAGGTTTCGAAGGTCACCACCTAAATGTCATTATTCAACACAAGGAGAAAATTGGTACTTAAGACAGGTGCATTTTCAACTCGGTAAAATAGTCTAATGGAGCCAATCCAAAGGACCCATTATCAAGAGAAAAGAAGATGCAAAACAAATGAAAAGATGACTAAAAATTAAAAGTGTACCTAGACATTTCTGACATCTAATAATTGGAGTGTCTCTAACATAAAAGTAAGTTACTTAAAGCACTTGAATTTGCTAATCATTTTCGCTATGCTACAGGATAAAAGCATTATAAACAAGCATATCGTTCCAACCAAAGAAAAAGGTTGTTTGGAAATCTTTCAACTAATAATTCGAAACAATATTTGACATGGTTTACATATGCAAGTGTAAAAACAACCAATCCAATTCAAGAAGCACAGTAGCCAAAACATTAGCTACATCTATTCACATCATGTGAGTTAACTAAAACATCAAAGATGAGCAATATGCGAACAATTGAGGCAGTAGTATATACTATGTAGACAGCAATTAAACTACACCATTTTTACTAATGCTTGTTTGGAATTGAGATTAGATGTTTTTTTTCTCTTCAAAATTAACCTATCATTCTCTTTTTGCCCTCTTTCCCTTTTAGGAGAGCAAAACATTTATGCTACACCGTCAAACTTCTCTATAACAGTCATCTTTTATAACAACACTTCACTATAACGATCAAGTTTTCTTTGGAACCAATTCTCATGTTATGTTATAATACATGTTCTCTATAATAGCACTTCGCTATAGCAGCCAAAAAATGTCCAGAACTAACGAGTCTGTTATTAAGAGGATTGACTATATATGGAATAGCAAATAGGACTCTAAAGTAATCTAAGTCAAAGGAGAAATTGAACTTGTAGGCTTACCTCCTAATTCGACCATCATGCCACAAAAGGAAAATCAAATTATGATGCCAATCACCATAGTATACAATGAATAATGCAGAAGCAATCCAAAGAAAATTCTCTAAGATCTCAGTCCATGTCCTTGTCCTGGGAATTGGAATTGTCTGTGATTGCGAAACGAACCTAGAACAAGCATCATCCTCAAGATCATCGCCACTCGAACCATACCCTTGACTTAGCCTCTGCCTCACATATCCACCACCACCAACTGGTGTTCCACCAGACATATTAATACAAAATTGTTCTATACCAAAAAAAATCAACAAATTTCCCTTTTTTGTAACTCCTTCAAGTTATCTCATAAGTCAATTTAGCTGAAAAAAGCAATCAAACAAACCAGCTCCCAGCAAAAAAAATCTCTAAATTCTCTATAATACCTAACAAAAATCCAACCCCAATTCACTTGTAAAGAATCAAAAAATGCCAACTATATAACAATAAAAAGTAACTGTATCTCCCACCAGTTACCAAATTGCAGCTCATTCAACTGAACCCTACATGCCCCCACTTGAATCAAGATTCACACAAGACTTAACTAAATGGTCTAATCTCTAAAACCCATATCAAGAATACAAAATTCTCACAAACCCAAATCAAAGATCAAAACTTTTTGACAACCCAATTCATGAAATAGCAAGATTATTACTATAAATCAAGAAACCCCATCAGTACCAGAAAAAAGAGAACTCTTTAGGTCAATTATCGAATACCCAAAACGTAAAAACCCAAAGGTTTTTTCACATTAGAGTAATCAATGAACAATTAATGCATATAAGCACAACAAGTGCTGTTACTAATGACAAGAAAAGAAGACAATAAATGGTTTTTAAGAGACTTCGGTTGGGCTTTTTTGTTTTGTATAGAGAGAGAAAGAGATCTGCGCATGTAAGTTGAGAGTAGTGAAGAGATTGACAGTTGGGGTAATGCCAGATTCGTTTCTTGTACCTTAGGTAGAATGTTTTTGATTGAAACCTTTTTAAATATATACTTCCTTTATTTGATTCACTTTTGGAAAATTTAAGATGTTTAGTTTAAGTTTATTGGCAGTAAATATTAGTAGAAGTTACTTTTCCATATCTAAGTTTTTTCTTTGTTTTGTTTTTTCGCATTATGTTTCGTGACGGGCAACAAATTGTCCTTAATATGAGAAATATATAATTTTTAACCGCTCTCGACAAAATCTATAAGTTTTAAATATACCATATAGGCCCGTTAAATTGTTATTTATTACGATAGGCTTTTCTCTTCTTTTATTTTACAAAATAATCTTATCTATCAACATATGGTAAAAGGGGTAGAGATTATCTTTACATAGTTAGCAAGAAATTAAGAAAGGTCTAATTGGATTGTAGTCACTTTTTTATTATTAAATTTGAACTCGTGACATTATAATTTGAGTTGTAATATCTAGAGATGAATTGTTCCCATCATGACAAAAGAAAAATGAAGTTAAAACTAGCAAATTAATCTCGTGTATGGTAGTTTTATTTCGATAAAAAATTTATTCTTAATATTGTTTGCTCACAATATCAATTATCCGTCGTTGAAAATGTTGATGATTAATCTCACTAGTAAAAAGGGAGTCTCATTGTGAGACATATAAAAATTTATAAGTATTATGCCTATTTATGCATCTTAATAGAGATAACTCCATTATACAAAAGAAAAGTTTAATAAAAATTAACACCTTGGGATTAGCTTAAAATTCAATATAATATGTGACTGCTCCTAACGGAAACTAACTTTATGGTATAAATAAAATAAAGTGGTTTTATGACACTACATCAGAGATGTTTTGAGATATAGTAATATATTTTGGTGGAGACAAGAATTAAAATTTTAAAATAGTAGGACCATATTGCCTTTTGTGCCATGGCAAGAGTAATGTTCAAAGTAAGCATGCTTTGCTTGCCCACAACTCCACTCCTTTATAAAAGTTTATTTTTTAAAAATGTCCACTTTGAGTCCAGAAAACCACATCCCTTATCTAATTTAAAATATTATTGCTAAACAAAGCTTAAATATATGGACTTTTTGAGGACCTACATATGGTAAATAATTATTTGAAAAAAATTAAAGTGAGAATACGTATTACTGAACTATAACTAAATGATATATATATATATATATGAGAAATATATTTCTTGTATTCTAGTTTGGTATAAATATAGAGTTTGCTTAAAGTCTAACTGGCTATGTAACTTTCTAGAATGAAACTTGGAAGTCAGCTTTTCTCCATATATGTCATTACCTCTTTGGATAATATAATATAATATAATAAAATAATAAAAAGAAAAAAAAACAACTCGATACACAAAATATTCCTCATTCATGCAAGATCCGGGGAAGTATCGCATCCCAAGGGGTGTAATGTAGATAGCGTACCCCTAATGCTACTTCCACGACTCGAATCTATGACCTATAGGTTACACGGAGACAATTTTACCGTTGCTCCAAAAATCTCCTTTAATAATATAATAACAGGTTGAAAAGAAAAAAAAAAGATAATATAATAATAGTAACAACTGCAAATGGCTATACTAAATATTGGTTTTAAGATAGATTTGAGTGGAGTTCATGTTGATGAAGCTTCTCTTCTTAGTGGTTTAGAAGTCTTGTCAGAAATTGTTATCTTATTTATTGTGATGAAGTGTTTGGTTTATCTCTAATAAGTATTGATGAATGACGATAAATTGGATATAGACAAATGAAAGAGACCCAATTAAAATGCAAACTCCACTCTTTACAGCCACAAAAGGGAAGGTTTCTTGATTAAGCTTCTCTCTGTATGTTTTGATGACTGAAAACTGCCAAAACTTGACTTGAAAATAGAAACTTGAAAATTTCCTTCTCACCAAATCAGACTAAAAATTGTTTTTAGCTGCAAAATGATGCATGCAATAAGTGGTTTTTGCAAGAATTGTAGGCAGGAGAAAACAATGTATTTACACAAAGGAGAACAAGAAAACACTATATTATATACTAAAGTACCCAAAGTTTCTCCAACCGATGGAAACAACCCAACAAACAATTTACTAGGCAAAATTGAATGCACAATGATTTAGCTATGAGCTATTGGATGAATGATATTGTCAGCTACACAATTTGAACAGTTTATTCTTTTCGCTAAACAGTAGAGCTCTAGTTGCAAAAACACTATATAAAAGGAGACAGTTTTTGGACGCGGGAATTTGAAAATCTGCTAGTCAATTACAAGTACAAAATGTTTCAGACAACTCAATGGCCTGCAGTACTACTTAGGCTAACCATATCCATTAAGGTCGAGTATAACACTTCCAAAGATAAGTAACCTAGAAATTTCCTTGTTTCTGATTCACCATTGTTGATGTCCATATTAAGTTTGCTTTCTTCACAGAATCCGTCGTTCATTACCAACCACCATGAAATACATCCTTGAAGATCTTCAGGGTCCACATGTGCCACCAGACAAAGTGTTTCGCCTTGCTCTAGCTCAAATGACAAGGATAAAAAGTCCCGGTTTGCTTTGATACCAACCATAAGGGCTTCCTCGTGAAGCCACCGTATCACCTGGCTGGCAACCTGTAGCAGAAATTAATAGCTTGAATTAAGGACATGTTGATGACTGCGTTTTTAGGCATTGCCTTCTAATGTAGATCGTATATCGATTTGTTAATAGAAAAGGAAGGGTACAATGTTGGTCTTTTTAGTTTTCATTTTGTCATAACCAAGAGATCTCCGAGCGCCAACTAGGGCACGGTTCCAAACTTGATGGATAATGGGCACCCCTCTATCCTTCTCCAATTAAATACCATTAAATACCAGATTTTTGTCAGAAATAGAGTTCAAACTCGTGATGTGCGCCTAACCCACACATCATGAGCTACGGTTACCAGTTGACCAAAGCTCAAGGACGGAGAGG